AAATGTTCTTGTAAATTCTCTTTATACATATACGGTATAATGTTTTATTTAAGTTTATATAGTATTATAATAAATAAATTATAAACCTTCATTATAAAATATATTATAATAAAAATAAAGTCAAATTAGACATTGACATTTCGTCAATGTTTACAAATTCACTGAAAGCGTTCACTATTGATGGCTGCCAAACAAATACTAAACAACGTAGCGTCGTCAAACTTCAAACTTAAGCTTTATAAGATTGGTACTTTCTACCATAGTCATTCTTTTCAAACAACAACCGCCATCTATATGTTAGGTCGGATACTTCTGGGATTATCCTCATACTAACTCGTACGCTTTGTTGGTTCTTTTCTTTAAATCGTTTTTTTTCGAAAACGAAGAGACATTGCATCGAATGCTATTACCATAAGTTACTAGTAGTCAAGTACTATTAACTCCGTAAGTTTCGTTCCAAACCGTTTCTCGGTTGACGCGTCCTTTGCTTGTAAATGGTTTTTTGCAAAACAGGATTTTTTATTCAATTTAATATAATGTACAAGCACACAACGGCAGACGACACCACTATGATTTATATACCATATGGCACGATTACTTGTAAATCTTCTTTAATTAATATTTTGATAGTTATTACAAATATCACAAAATGGTACAGGACTTTTGTGTTCATCTCCATGGATTTTATGTCCTCAGAGAGATTATGAAATCAATCAAAGACACCTTATATATATATATATATATCAGGTGTAGTAAAAAGAAATCCATTATTTTTCCAATAGATGGCTTTAGTTATCTGTATCTCGCGTTGTATAAGTCCGATCGGGTTCCACTAGATGGCGTTAGAAAGATGAGATTTCGTACTAAAAAAACTTTTTTGACAGTTTTGTGATTAGTTGACTCAGTTTTGTTTGAGCGCGCGTCAAAGATGGACACTAGCAAAGAGAAAATACACTATATTTTACAGTTTTTCTTCGATAAAGGCGAAAACGCAAGCCAGGCGGCTGAAAATGTGAATAGTGTTTATGGTCCTGATACTGTAACAGCCAATCACGCGCAATTTTGGTTTCGTCGATTCCGTTCCGGTAATTTCGATGTCAAAGATGCACCACACACTGGAAGGCCAATTGTCGAAAATATCGATAAAATCATGGACATTGTCGAGTCCGACCGTCATGTAAGCACTGTTTCGATTGCCCAAGAGCTAAAGATTGCACAAAAAACCGTTTGGAACCATTTGAATAAGGCTGGATACAAAAAGAAGCTCGATGTATGGGTGCCACACGAGTTAACGAAAAAAAACCTCATGGACCGAATTTCCATCTGTGAATCGCTGCTGAATCGCAACAAAATCGACCCATTTGGGTCGACCATGAAGCGGTTGGTCACTGGTGATGAAAAGTGGATCACTTACGACAACGTCAAGCGAAAACGGTCGTGGTCGAATCGCGGTGAGCCGGCGGAAACGGTGGCCAAGCCAGGATTGACGGCCAGGAAGGTTTTGCTGTGCGTTTGGTGGGATTGGCAGGGAATTATCTACTATGAGCTGCTCCCCTATGGCAAAACTCTTAACTCGGAACTGTACTGTCAACAATTGGACCGTCTGAAGGAAGCAATCGCCCAGAAGCGGCCAGCTTTGGCCAATAGGAGAGGAATTGTGTTCCATCAGGACAACGCCAGGCCACACACATCGATAGTGACTCGCCAGAAGCTCCGGGAGCTTGGTTGGGAGGTTCTTATGCATCCACCTTATAGTCCGGACCTGGCACCAAGTGATTACCATCTGTTCCTGTCCATGGCGAACAATTTTGCTGGTGAAAAATTCGCTTCAAGAGAAGCTTGTGAAAATAGATTGTCTCAATTTTTTGCCAATAGGGACGAGGGCTTCTACGAGAGGCATAATGAAATTACCTTCAAAATAGCAACAAGTTATCGAACAAAACGGCGCATATTTGACCTAAATCGGATCATTCTAACTATGGTAATTAAAGCCTTCAATTTCATGCAAAAATAATGGATTTCTTTTTACTACACCTGATATCTTACCTTATATATATATATTTATTTATTTATTTATACATACACATCATTTTAAATTGTTTTTTTATGATTTGGGAAGTTATAAAAAATTAGTAGTTTATATATATAATAATTCTGTGGAAATAATGTCATCATTCTCATCATTATTCTTTGTAATATGTATTGTTTTAAATTTAAGTTTTATTATCTTGCTTTCTAGGAGCTCTTTTAACAAAATTTGAGATTTCTGATATATCTGTAGCAGAGAAAAGTGCTGCAACGTGGCTGACCAACAGCCCATGGAGAAAACAGGAGGATAGTTCTTTTAGTAAAAGGATTGAAAATGCCTCCAAGTCTTCAAAGGAGAAACAAATAAGAAGTCAATTAGTCAATAAGGCTAATTTTTAATTATTTTTCAAAGATTTTAATTAGTCATATAAGACTCAGTTCATACTATGCACAAAAAGTTATAAAGATTCTGCAATATTTTTTAGTTTACTGTGATTTGTGCTTTTGTATGTTACAGAAAGTTAATTATTATGAGTAGCTTCGAAAGTTTCTTTAATTTCAGAAAAACAATTGAGCTATGAATGATTTTAGTTATTCTTTTCCTGTTTCTTTCTCAATTTTTATTTTCTGTTTTTACTATATAGTAGCCATTTATATAGAATTATATGAGTTGATTGTTCTATTTTAATATTACTTTACATAAAAAATATTGATGTTAGAGAATCTTTTTTAAATTTCCTGTGACTTGTACCTTTTTTTACATTAAAAAATGTAATTATAAATCAGTTAAATTTAAAAAAAGTATATCGTACTTATAAAAGCTGTAACTGTAACTTGTTTATTTTGTATCTTCTTACTTATTTCTATTACGCTCTTTTCATTTATATTAAGCCATCTTTTAAGAATTTTGTTTTTAATAGAAAATATAGAAAATACAAGAATGATTTGCATTTATTATAATTTTAATTAACCTGCCTTTTTAATTTATTTCAATCTAAGTAATAAACAATAAAGAAAGTTTCCTGTGAATTGTGTTTGGCTATATTACTATATTAGTAAACGTATTTACTATATTAGTAAAAGACAAGACTATAAGTTTCTGGCAGGGTTGGGAAGTAACGCGTTACTTGTAACGCGTTATTTCCCAACGCCGTAACTGGTATCGTTACTTTTTTGAGTAACGATTAGGTAACGCCGTTACTTTTTGGTGTCAGTAACGAAAAAGTAACGGCGATACATTTTTTTTGTAACGAGTAACAAAACGTCCATTACTTTAATCGTTACTTTTTAATTTTTATAAAATTAAACTTAATTGTATTTAATTTCTATGCATTTTTTATTTTATGCTGAATTTAATGAGAACCAATAAAGATGGACTCACATATTGTCATCCATTGGTCTTAGCTATACAGAAAGGTTTAAAAGAAAAGTAAATTGGTGTAATTTGGTTAATACATATGTTCATCAAACAACATTCATCTGATCAAAAAGAAAAATCAATATGTTCATATTTAATTTTATTGATTTAACTTTAGGTTTTGTACTACATTCGAAAAAGAAGAATTGATAATTGCCAGCTGTTTGCATCCCAAATTGAGTTGGTTAGCTGAAGATAAGTGGAAACTTGCGCAAACGTATTTAGAAGATTTATAAGGAATTCCTTCAATTAAAAATTTTTTGATGCCTGATAAGCACAATAATAACGATGACTTTTTTAATTTTAAATAGCAAACATCAAATGAGAAATCTGCCTATGATGAATGGCAAAGATTTTTAAAGTCAACAGGCACTAATGTCCAAATATTAAATTTATATCCACTAATTAAGAAACTTTTCATTAACTACAATACTTAATAACATAAAATAATAAAAATATTTAAATATATATATATATTTCTAATCGTCTTATGTCCGATTTATATCTTGTCTTAGCACCTTTCTTATAATCTTGGATTTACAACAAAAAAAAGTAACGGAAAGTAACGAAATAAAATATCGTTACTTTCAAGTAACGGTAACGCGTTATTTTTTAAGATCAGTAACGAGTAACGGTAAGGAGTTACTTTTTACCGAAAGTAATGGTAACGGTAACGAGTTACGGCAACGAGTAACTTTTAAAAAGTAACTTCCCCAACCCTGGTTTCTGGTGCCCTAATAAGAAATAAAAAATCGATTTTAATGTACATTATATTATGATATGCCGAATTCGCATTGGTTTCGATGTCAAAATTTCGAAATCGAGCTGATTTCGATATCGAAAACTTTTCGAAACCGAGCCCGTCTGAATCTCGTTTCGATGTTGCATTTCGACCTATTTTTGATGACCAAATTTCGATATCGTTTCGATATCATTTCGACTTCTTATTTCTCACTGGGATGGAACCGTGTAATGAAGATATAATCCTTGACAGCACAAGAACTTCTGGGAATGTCCCAAGAACATTCTGAGGATATAGCGATATCCTCAGAATGTATGCAGGATGTTCCCTGGATATCTGTGCTGTTAGAAATAGTGTGTTTTAAAGATTTAAGAGTTCTTTTTTAAACAAGAGATATGGTCTAACACACAAGAAAGTTTTATTAGAGACTCAGGATTCAAAAATATTAGATATTTTGGGAGATTTTACAATAGAGAAGAGAAGTAACTGTGATTTAGGAATTTTAATGAAGAAAGATATTTTGTTATTTTCATCAACAGGTTAAGAGCTAACCAGTATAATTTAAATGAGTCTCTTCACAGAAAGGGATATATAGATAGCACTAGGTGTGACTGTGGATATGAAAGAGAGGATACTGACTATATGATATGGCGGTGCAGTAAATATAATGAAGAAAGAGTTACGACGAAGAATTAAGAAAGAAAAGAATAAGGGATAAATGTAGCATTATTATCTGGATTAAAGAGGAAAATTGAGACGCAGTCTGAATAACTTATAACTTTATCAAGAAAATATGAAAAATAGTATAACAACCTGAAGTTAATTATTCTTGTGCCACATAATCTGAAAGAACAGGTTGAAAAAAATATAAAATTTTATACAACGAATTGGCCTATCTAACAAAATATCTATTGATGTACAAATTTATTAATGCATAATAGTTAATGTTATTTTATAAATAAAATTATATAATTGTTACCTTATATTAAAATCTTCGTATACGACGTGACTACGTGATGTGGTACTACGCACGTGGAACTAGTGCTGCGAAAATGTGGCCAAGTACACTGCAGCCACAATATATGTATAAGCAGTAGCGACGCTCCAGGGGGTACAGATTCCTCTCTTGAAAAACGAGTGCCAAGCGCCATCTGGAGCTGTACTCGGACGTTGCTGAACTAGAATGGGTTACGTGACACGGAATGGGGATACGCGGTAGTATTCAAACCCCTGCAGCCGCGCACTTTCATATATATACTGTTTGTGTAAATATGAACACAGAAAAAGAAATATTTTTAATAAGTATTTTACAAAACTTTATTTTTATGTCTACTTATACATGCTAATTAATCATTATTTTGCCCTATTAATTAGCATGTATGAGTAGACAAAAATAAAGTTTTATAAAATACTTCTGAAAAAATTTTTTTTTCTATGTTTACATTTGTACAACATTATATATATGTATATTGAGTTGGGTAATATATGTACAATTTCAAAATTATTAAGTAAAATGAAATAATAGAATTTTTATGTCTGTATAATTTTATAAAATAATTGTATAGAAAATACAAAATTATAGATATCAACGACATACAACTATATACAACTACACAACTCAATATGCATATATTAGAAACGCAATATAAATATAAAACTACATATTTATTGCAACTTTTATTTTGTATTTTTTTATTACCATGTTTACAAATATTATTTTAAATGGTTACAATATTTTTTATAATAAAAGTAAAATTTTCGCATTTTCTACATTATTAAATAATATATTAAATTTGAAATATATTGATATATATAATAGGATATCACACAGTAATATAAGATTCATTTATATATAAAACATTGTGCAGATGTTTTCATTAGTGAATAGCTATGAGAAAAAATGATTTTTTTATAGAAATAATGTTAATATAATAATGAAATGAAACATACCTGTGGAAAACATTTTAAATTTATCGTCAACATTTGGAAGAATGTCTTCTGTATATTTGACATGTCCTTCATGATGTCATCTCATGTATTCCCACACCGCAGTCTGTTGATCCTCTGATCTAGTGATAAATAATCCTCTTCTTAGTAACATCTCTCTTGTGTAACATCTTCCGTTGTGTCCTCATGTTTTTTCTTAAAACATAAATTTCTTCTTCTTCATTTTTTCTTGCTGTCTCTTCACCCATGTTTATGGGCAGTGGTACAAGCGCAGAATTGTTCGGAACATTTTCTACTACACTAACATGCTCACAAATATTATCGTTAACGTTAATATCAACATGCTGTTCAAAATTTAAAGGCAAATGTAATGTTGGTACAGCATTATTGGTTAGGCGTCGCCTAGACCTATAAGACTGTACTATATTTTCTGGAAAATGTTCCGTACAGATTCTCAATTTGGCCAATGTTTCTTTAGGCGCACCTATAATATCACAAATTACATGAAATATAAGAAATTACATGATATGAAACAATTATGAAATATTAAAAATTACATTAGAAAAACGAGAGCATTGCAATGTTAAAGATAAACATGAATATCTATATATAAGATAAAGAAAATGTGTTTAAATTAAAATATATTTAATAAATTTTAAATAAAAATATTTACTATTAAAACATTGTCAAAAATTGGCATCTATTTAATACTTACTGATCAAATCAGTTTTGCTTATAGCTATTAGCCAATGTTTCCTTTTCGATGCATCCTCTAGGAAGCGATGTACTGGTATTTGAGATGTGGACTTACATTGCGGAACACAACACTTCCACATCATCTTTGAAGAAATGTACCTAGAAAATTAACATTGTTACTTATATATAAAGTAAGATATTAATACAAAATAAAATATTAATTAATAAAAAGACAAAATAAATCATAAAGTAAGAAGCACATTCTTTCTCTTTTCTTTATTTTCTCTAAGAAATATGAATTGTTATATTAACATGTAATATTAAGAGAGGTAGAAAACTGACCAACTTAGTAAATAATCTATTAACAGTGTGACCAACAATTGGCAATAAATTTGAGCAGAATATGTTAACAAATAGATAGATTTACAACATTTATAATTTGCTATTATTCTTTTTACCAAACTTGTTGAGAGACTGACAACACAACAACAGATAGACAATAGGAAGCAAGCAGGATTTGCAATATATTCCATTTAAATATATTGAAATGACAGATCTTGCTCGATTTCTGACATCAATTTGTCATATTCAGTTATCAGATCCTGTGATATTTTTGCTATTAAACTGCTGATAGAATTTGAAGTTTACTAGCAGAAATATAATCTGATAGCAAAATTTGATAGAGTGACGGCATAGAAATCAAGTCTGTCGTTCTAATATACTTAAATACACATAACATATAGCAGATTCGGTAATTATTTGGAAGACGGACCTCATCTTGGATTTCACTCAAACTCATCTATCTTGTGTATTTTGACGTGTAGAAGCCGAATCTGCAAGTAAAAATGGTCGCTCGGCTCTAGTTTGCGAGAAATAAATAGTTAAAAAGTGACACATGCGAGGTTAGGAAACCTGTCATGTCGGTAATACAGAGACTTATGGTTTGTTCTTTTTAGTCAAAAAGTGTAAAATAGTACAGGTTGGGGAGGGGCGAAGCCCTCTCCCCAAAAAATTTCCATATATTAAACATAAGAATTTTTAACTCATGTATCAGTGGTTATTATACAACAAAAATAACCACTGATACATGAGCTAAAAATTCATATGTGTAATATATAAAAATGTCTCAAACATATGTATACATACAGTACCAAATATATGTACACACACACATACGGGGGGGGTGCAAGGGGGTGCGGGAGGGGGGCCATCGGTCCCCCCTCCCGCACCTTCCCGTCCACGTTACACGTGGAAAGTTGCTATAACTTTCAACGTGCAATGAGCGCCAGGGAGGGAGGGCCGAAGGCCCCCCCTTGCACCCCCCGTGTGTGTGTACACATGTTGGAACTATATGTATATATATATTTGAGACTTTTTTATTTGTTACATACCCCCCTCCCGCACCCTAACCGTTCTTGTTTCGCATTGAAAGTTATATCCATAAGTCTCTGTATTACCGACATGACAGATTTCCTAATCTTTCGTGTGTCACTTTTTAACTATTTATTTCTCGCAAACTAGAGCCGGGCGAGCATTTTTACTTGCAGATTCGGCTTTTACACGACAAAATACACAAGATAGGTGAGTTGGAGCGAAATCCAAGGTAAGGCCCGTCTTATAAATAATTACCGCAGATTCTGTTCGTTTTTCACCAATCTGCTGTTACAATGTGTGAGCAGGCTCAAAAATAATAACAGCAGATTAAGGCCGTAAATAATTTTATATCTGTCGACACGTCGCATTTGAATCTGTCGCCAATTTATAATAAGATTAATTTTATCTACACATATATATATATATATAAATACTTACGTAAATGTCAATATTATGACGACACATGCTCTTTGTCCTTCGTTGGTCCTTCTTCCTTCTTCCTATAACACTGAAATGCTCTTTTTTAGGCACTTAAATATACGAAACATCTTCTCAAGTCACTGATAAACAGGAACTGTTCAATATGGCGACCAACAGATGATGGTGCCGGGTCGACTACACTGCCTCCTGCCTTTGTACGAGCAGAGAGAAGCCTGAGAGCGGGCATGGCTGCATTTACAGCATTATCGAAAAGTTGGCTGATTCGCAGCGCCAACTGGGTCCATTTTTCATGGACATGAACTACTAAGCCAATGTTCATGATTTGTTGGTACTATTCCGTGCTATGTCCATAATTATTTGGTTCTGTTTTGTGCTATGTTCACGAGCGAGATAGATTAGTCAGATAAAAACGGAGAATCGGTCTTTGTCTCACCACCAGCGAATAGACAATCGCGACGATAAACTGAAGCGAGCCAGCAGGGATGTCATAGTAAGGCAGACGTTGCCGTCTCCCCTTTCACCCCCTTGTTTTCCTTTCTACATTGTTTTATATTCATAATTCGGGAAGAAAATAATTTCGAGAGTTCGGACGATTTCTAGTAATGACGCGACAGGGATAACGCGCGGCTACATTAATTTGTCATGACTTTTATATTACTCATAATTACATAAACGGCCATATATGCAAATTATAGATAATTATTGCGCGTATGTTTTAATATTGTACAATATGGTATATAATAACAACAACTTCATTTCTTGCAGTAATTATTTTAAGATCTTCGTTGAGGTCGTGAATTAATTTTTTTCTTCATCAATCAGTTTTCTGCAAAAATTAAGATTTTTTAAATAAAATATGAAATGTTTTTCTTCTCTTCTCTCCGAAGAGTTAATTAAAAAATATGCACTCCACAGAGTCAACTAACAAATGTGTAGTCAGAAGGGTCAATTCAAAAGTATACTCCGAAAAGTCAATTTAATAGCGTATTCCGAAGAGTCAATTTGAAAGCGTATTCTGAAAAATCAAATTAATATTGTAATCCGAAAAGTCAATTTATAATAGAATATTTACTTTGATGATTCAGCTAAAAAACATTTATTTATTATTATATTCAGAGAATAATATTTAATTTATTATTTATACTTATCTTACTTATGCTTACCCTACATATGCTTCTTTGAATGAAAAATTTAATTTGTTGACTGATTCAGATTCAGATTTGTTAAAATATCTCTTGTGCGCAACTCTTGAACAGGTAGGTAGTAAAATAGTTTTTTTTCTTTACGAATTTTATAAACTTTTCACGAACATAAAAATTGAAAGATTCTCAGAGGACAAATAACTTTTCTTGAACATTTAAACCAAAGGAAAATATTTTCCCATTAATTAAGAATGAATAATTAATATCTCACACAAGAGGAATCTTCATCCTTGAAATCACCGTGCGATTTTGCTTTTAGAAAAGTATAATACTGATGTAATAGTAACAAATGCTATCCAAAAACGGTGCAAATCTTAAATGTTTTTGAGAAATGTAGTTTGAAGTTCAGTCTTTTCTGTTAATGTCGTTATAGCAGAAGAATTACCAATTTGCTTCAGTAGCGCAGTGGATCAGGCTTTGTGATATGAGCGTAGAGGTTGTTCAAGTGTGTTATTTTTACTATCACAGGGAGAACTATGTAGAATGTATAATAATACGCAGACAAATTCTTTACATAATCATACTTATTTCTTTTAGCATGAATAAAAATGATCAATGCTAACGTGATAAGTGTATATCGCAATTGTACGTGTACGCAATTGTACACATACACACACACATACACACGTATACCAATGATGTCAAAACCGAACAATTCGTGAAAACTTTTTATTGATCGCAATTGTACGCAAAGACGAAAGAGAAGTACACGGATCTCCGCGGGTATCTCGTCATATTAATTGTCTATGAGCTGATAAACAATTGACCTCCGGTATTTACAAGTTATGCTTGTCCGCAGCTTGTTCGGTTTTGATATCATTGGTATCAGTGATGCGAATTTGGTGACGGACTTACACGAGGATTCTCCTCCCCCCCTCATATACGCACACAGCCAGCTCGGTCAATCCGTGTGACCCACGTGATCGGCAATTGTCGACGCGCCGAGCGAGAGAGAGAGAGAGAGAGAGAGAGAGAGAGGAGAGAGAGAGAGAGAGAGAGAAAGAGAGAAAAAGAGAGAGAGAGAGAGAGAGAGAGAGAGAATATCATTCCCTCCTTGTCGCTCTCGTTCTCGCTCAGCGAGCCTAATTCTTTCTTGCTCATAATCTGTATCGCGGGCGCGACTGTCTCTCTCTCCTTTCCTCTCTAATGACAATACTGAAAAGTTTTGTCTACTCGGCGCACCGAAATTATTACAAATAATATTTTGTTATTAATAATATTATTATTTGTAATATGTATTATTTGAAATATTATTATTTGTAATTTTATTTGTAATTTTTTTATATGTAATAATTTTATAATAATGTTACAAATAATACAAATTTTTACAAATTTTATTTGTAAAAATTTATATCATTTGTAATATTATTTGTAATAGTATTAATAATATTCGGCGCCAAGAAAATGAAATATATTTTATTAATTATTTTGCGGAGTCGAGCAGGTTCACAGGTTTGATTATTGAATTGTTTAATAATATTTTAAGAATAATTTTAAGTTATACAAGGATGTAGTATGAAATATAAAAGAATATTGTAACAGAATCAAGAAGTACGAAATGAAACCTCTTTGCTTTTATTACAATATCCTGTAAGTTTATAAATATATTTCATACAGTATTAGATAATCTCCAAAAACAATTACATCCGTGAAATTTTCTATCTGCGCGAAAAAAAATTCATAAAATATATTTATTTCGTCGCTCTAAATGAGAAAACTCTCAGAACAATGTCATAGTTGTTCAGTGCACTACTCAATAAAAATATAATAATACTATGTTTGTATGTGTGAAGAATATTTGCTAACTTACAGGATATTGTAAAGCAAGGTTTTATTTCGTACTTCTAAGGCCAAGACTTATTAACGGCTAAAGACATATTCGAATTGATCTTGCCTTAATTGGTCGGATCAGTGACCGGTCTTGCTTTAACTTCCAAGCCTCATAACTCGGAAAGTACTCAATGAAATGTAACTTTGTTAGAGTGTTTTGGAAAGCTCTCGAGATAAACTAGTAAGAACATGTAATAAAAAATTGTAGTTTCTATTTAAAGAAACATTAATGACCTTGGCCTGATTTTGACAAGGTCACTCAAGGTCAAGTCCACATTTCCGTCATGTGTCGTCCTTCAAGCCATGCAACTTTCGTTCGAAAAATTTTTTAATAAAATCATCGATAATGGACCATATCACTTTAGTTAGAAAAGTCTTGAAACGGTCAAATACCTCGAAAACGAAACATTTTTAAGACAAATATTTCCAACTAAAGTTGTAAGGTTTTAAAAGTTCTATTGAATGATCATATCCGGTTGACCTTGAGTGGTGGAGTCAAGGCGAGGTCAATTCTCTTTGGGTTGCTGTAATGAATCCATTTTTCATCAACCGTAACGATGCGATGAAGAAAACCCTTCCTTTTTTGCCGCTAGAGCAGTTGTTCACAGGCGAAAAAACGACGCTCAACGTCTCTTGGCTTCAAATCATAAGGAACCCAAGTTCCTTGTTTTTGAATCATTCCCAACGCATGCAATCGCTTGGAAATGGCTTGGCGGGTAACTCCTAATGCTGAAGCAAGCTCTTTTTGCGTTTGGCACGGATCCTCATCGAGCAATGCCTCCAATTCAGCGTCTTCGAAGATTTTTGGCCTTCCTTCACGCGAACGGTCATCAACATCGAAATCACCGTCTTTGAAGCGACGGAACCAATCACGGCACGTTGTTTCACTTAGAGCAGCATCTCCGTAAACTTTTTGGAGTTCTCGATGCGCTTCAGCCGCCGTTTTCTTCGAATGAAAGAAGAAAAACAACACTTCCCGTAAATGACGATTATTTGGCACAAAATAAGACATTTTCACACAACCAAAAGTATATGACGCAAAAACAAAATCACTAATGTGTCAAAGCGGTTTGTTTACCATATGTCTAAGCTTGGTCTAACCCTAAAGAGATGGTATAAAACAATTAAAGATAATAACAAGCAATCAGGAGCTGCTAAATACTATTGGATTCATTTCGATGCTGTTGATGAAATTCTCAAAAAACATCCAGAAATTGCCCCATTATCCTTAGCTTCGAGTACTGATGGTTTCCGATTATATGTCGACTCAAATGAAGAAGAGGGCAATGAAAATAATCCTGCAGAATTATCTTTACATATTAATAATAATCTGAAGACAAATCAACTTACAAGTATTAGAAAAACTAGAAAAGCAAATGAACCGTACTGGGCTAAACAATTAAGAATCCAAAGAGAAAGACATCATAAAGAAAATTTTGAACAAAAGGAAAGATTTTTGTCTTTTTTGAAAAAACGAAACAATATCTAAATAATTACTTATTTTTCTATATTCAAATTTAAAATTAATCAAAATATAATTTTGTTACTTTTAATTGTAAGTTATTTAAACAATATTTGTTGCATCATATCAGAATAATTTATTTTTCGTTATTAATTAAAAATATTCTACATATTATGAGAATTACTAAATAATTACAATTAATTTTTCTGTGATTTTTCTGTGATGTTAACAAATTTATTGTTACTTATATATCTGCTATGAGAAAAAAGTTTTTTTTTAATTTGATATTGCATTGAATATTATTCGATGTTAATACATACTATTATAAATGTTGTATTCATACACTTATAAATTAAGTTGCAATTCAGTTGCTTCCGAAAATAAAAAAAAGTTCCGATGACATTAATTTAAATGAAATAAATAGAAATTACAAATTGAACAATATAAATTAGTGTTTTATTTGTATCAAATGTGTTTGTCTACACTTTTATGTACCTGTAAGTACAAATAAATACACTGATGTTATTATTTAATAAATATTGTATTTTCTATAATATCTGAGTATTTTATTTCCTTTTATATATATAATTACATTTATTATATAACATGTAACCAATTTATTTCAACATTATATAAATTATATTCATTACATTATCTATATTATAATTGATGTGCAATAATGTCTCTTTTGACATCTCCAGGTAAGTCTTCATCAAGTTCGATC